GGGGGGTGATTTTGGCGGGGTGGGGGGGGTAGATTGTGCTGTGTTGTTGACCCCCCCCGAAACTTGCGTTGTTGTTGTGTGACGTGTTGGTGGGGGGGTGATGTTGTAAACAGAGTGCAATTCTCCGAATTTTGCAACAAGTTCGCTGTAGGATACTTCATGTTTGTGTGTCATGCTCGTGGTTTGATGGTGTTGTAGGTCCGTCGCGGCGGTTATGATCCAATTTCAAGGACTTGAGTAACTACCCCAAGGTTTAGGGACAGCTTGTTGTTGTGGATCTATCTTTGCACGAGGCGCGGCGGCATCAACCCAAAACACTACGGTGCTGCACATGCGCCTGTGTGCAACGCGCCGCCTTTCCGCACCAAAAGTGCGAAATCTAGAAACTCCGCATACGTTACGTTGCGAAGCACCTCATCATTACCAACGCACGGGCAATTCACCTTCTCGGTGCTTGAAGAATTTAAGGCGCCGGACTATACACCGCTGCCGTGCGCATGGTTTCCGGGCTGTCGCTGCTGTTCTCAGCCGAGAACACAGATAGATGGATTCATTCGTGAGGTCGCTGCTACCGCTACGCCCCGCGTCCTTCAGTTGATGCCTATCCCATGGTCCTTTGAGGGCTTCCCAATCCTATAGGCTGCAGCACAAATTACCAGCTCTCTTTGGCATACCTCGGCGGAACCTTTACAATCTGAGCTAGAAACGAACGCACGCTCACAAGTGGCGGCGCGGTACGTTTCCGGGGTGGTCAATGTCCGGCTCGCAGCTGCATAATTTTTTTTCTGACATACATGAGTGTTCTTGCACCGCTCGGTTCAACAAGACTGAGGTGAACGAGTGAGCAAACAGAAGCTTTTTTTGTCGGATCCGTGATGAATTTGTTTCTTTGTTTTGGAGTAAACACGCTCGGTGTTCCTGTACTGGTCACCCCCCCCCACCGAAGACACCCATTTTACCCTCCGCGAAGTCCCCTTCTCTACCGAGAACGCAGGCCCAGGCCGGGGTCAACATAGCCAGGACAGAGGGGCGTACACATGGTGTATCCTGTCTACTGTCACCCTTGTGGCGTGCAGTCGTTTCTGTTTTTTCCATATACAGAGAAAGGGAAATTAAACTTGTTTGCCGCGAATGGGTGGATGCATAAGCGCAAACACCGTAGGCATACGCTGCGATTCGTGGTGGACCACTGCCTTTGTGCTGGGGTTTGTGCCATCCTAGAAGTCTCCCGCGTTCGCGTTTGAATCATCATCAGAGCATGTGCGTTGAAAAGCCTTTTCTCGTCTGTTTCGTAACGACTCTAACTGTGTTCATGACGCCCCCCCCCCCCCCCCTCCCCGGGTGGTGAACTGGGGTTGCTCACCGCCCCCTAAAACAAAATCCGGGCACGAAATCCAGCAGGGCCTTTGGCCTTTGGGGGATCTCTGCCCCCCAACTAACT